CCGGGTGGCCCCGCCCCACAAGCAAGCCCCGCCGCCGGTCCAGTGTGGGGCTTCCATCCTCCACCCTGACCCAGCGGCGCCGGTCCAGCATCCAGTTGCAGACAGGAATGTCATGTCCTGGTGGGAGGACCTCTGTAAAGACAGGGAGACACAGTGGATGGTCGAGACGAGTTCGCAGACGCTCCAGCACAACCACGCCCAGCGTAAACCCCAGGTTTGCTGTGCGTCGGAAGAGGACTGGGAAGCTGCGGACCATTGACACCCACCTGCTGGGGCCGTCCATGTTACTGGCCAGCCTGATCCAAATGACTGAGGAGGAAGAGGAGGAGGAGAGGGTGGAGGCGAGGCTACCAAGAGGAGAGCAACAGGTGGAGATAAGGAGCGGGTCCGATGTCAAGACAGTGACTTCACACCCAGTTAGCCTCCATTCAGATGGTGATGATGACAATGGAGATTACTGCAGCAACAGCAACAGCCAATCAGATTCCAGTCAGCTTTCAGAGGCGGAGCAGCTGGATGAGCAAGTGGAGGAGGAAGGAGAAGTTTCCAGCTGCACAGATCAACATCCATCTTCATCTTCGACCTCCTCGTCCACAGCCCTTGAAAGGACGACCCCGCTCTCATCCACGCCCCGCCGACTGATCCGGGCGCCTCGCTGCCTCCGCAGGAACTCCTCCCAGATGTTCTTAGGAGATACTGCCTCCTACAGGCGTTACAGTGCCTCCGTCCAGAGGAAGAGGAGAAGGATCTCCACCATCTCCAAAGCTGGGAGCCCGTGGCCTGGAAGAGGCCTCCCACTGCCCAACCGTCGGACCTCGGTCCACTATGTCAACCACGCCACCGTCCACAGGGGCCCCAGGGCTCTCACTGCACTGGGGCCCCAGGACTACCACTCCCACCTGGAAAACTGGAGTGCCTTCCTGCTGTAGGTAGTCCAGTGGTACTCATGCTGGTATTTGAATTTGAAATCTTTCTCTGTGTGAGACTGAAAAAAAAAAGTTCAGATGAGGAGGTCAGGAGATGGTCAGAAGGTTAGGATTGAGTCAGTAAAAGTTTGTCATCACCTTTTGAACAGTGCCAACAGACAGAAGTCTGTTGTTGTCACCAGCAGCTGCTCTGAACCACAACAGAACGTGGGGGTGTGAGAAACACCTGGGTCAAACACAGACCTGCCGCCTCACTGCCTGTACCTTCTCTCCTACTTTCAGAAAAGCTATAGCGAAGTCCGGCCTGCAGCATGTGACCAGTCAGCCCAGTGGGTCAACATCCACTCAGAGCCAGTCGCCACGGGAACCCAGCAGCTGCGTGGACTGGACGGTGAACTCATCTTTCATCTTTCACTGTTTGTTTGTTGAAGCAGCCAATTAGACCGTGGTGTTCCATGGTACTCCATGGTCCTGCTGGAGAGCATTGTCTTTGTTTGTCCCCAACCATATGGTTTAATGAACTGTGCAGCAGTGAAGCCGAGCTCTGTTTGTTTAATTCACTCTGTCTGTTTGTTTAATGCCAGATAACGCTGTCGAACCTCCGCCGAGGAGCTAGGAAACTGTACTGTACTGTACTGTACTGTACTGTGTTGTACTGTACTGTACTGTGTTGTACTGTACTGTACTGTACAGCAACAAGGCTAACGGATAAGAGATAGCAGACGAATCCTCACGTTAGGAAAGCGTTAAACAACGTTTCAAAGAAAAGACAAATGTTAACAACCATGTAGCAACAACAGTTTAGCCAAAGTGAGCTCCATGAGATAAACGCCGGTCCACAAGAAGCTAAAGCTAGAGTTTGAAGAGGTGAAGTTTTGTAAAAAAATGTGTTCAGCCAGGAGACATGTGATGGACTGGAGATGTCCTACCTTCAGGTGTCTCTGTGTCCTCAAGTCCTCAGGGAAAAACATCTCCTCTGCCCACCTCTGTTGTAGGAAAATGCCCAGTTCGGAGACCACATCTGGTTTGAGACCAGTGGTTCTGGAGACTTCTGTTACGTTGGAGAACAGTACTGCATGGCCCGGTCCCTGGTGAGTCAGAGCATCAACACAGGAAGGTTCAAGAAAACTGCTGCTGTTTTCCTCACACTCCGTGTTCTCCTGCTGTGAGCAGCAAAAGTCCATCTCCAGGAAGAAGTGCGCTGGATGTAAGATTTCAGTCCACACCATGTGCATGGAGCAGCTGAACCAGGTGGAGAACCATCACAGGAGGGTTATCACAGCTGATCTGAGAACCTGGTCTCCTCTCACACAACCTTCTCTCTGTCATCAGATCAACTTCAGGTGTAAGCCGTCCTTCAGGGAACCTGGATGTCGGGCCGTCCGAGAGGTTTGTGATCCGTGACTGTAGTCAACGTAAAAATGTCAAAAGATCGTCCATCAGGTACCGATAGTACCTGATGGAGCAGAAGAACCAGACAAGTCAGTGTAGATTCAAACCTGCTGGAAGCCTCTCCCTGTTCTGTCCTCCTGTCCTCCTGTCTTCCTCAACCTCTGAGTCTCCATTCAGATGTTCTTGTGTTTCAGGCTGCGGTGGTGAGACATCACTGGGTTCACAGGCGGAGACAGACGGGGAAGTGTCGACAGTGTGGGAAGGTGAGACTCTAAAGCTCCAACAGCTGATGCTCTTCTGGAGCTGAGGTGGTTCTGGAGCTGAGGTGGTTCTGGAGCTGAGATGGTTCTGGAGCTGAGGTGCTCTCCTCTTTTCTCTCCTACAGGGGTTTCAACAGAAGTTTTCCTTCCACAACAAAGAGATCGTGGCCATCAGCTGCTCCTGGTGCAAACAGGCGGTGAGGCTCTCTCCCACACTCAGGGTGGAGGTGGGGGTGGAGGTCTAGCAGAAGCTGATGCTCAAGATGGTGGTGATGTTTAGGCTGAAGCTGAGAGTTAAGGTAAAGGCTACATCAGGGAGGAGGTGGAGGTGGAGGTGGAGGTGTGGTCCTGGGAAGGTAAGAGTTACGATGGAGGACAGGAGTGATGTGACATGAAGTTGGAGGTTGGGTTAGATGTTGAAGCTTGGATGAGGATGAAGATGGTGGTCAGCATGGAGGTACAAGTCAGGATGAAGGTGGAGGTTAGAGAATTTATATTGTCTTATTGTCTTTTTATCGTCCTCCTCTGTCCTCCCTCTCAGTACCATAACAAGGTGACCTGCTTCATGCTGCAGCAGATCGAGGAGTCTTGTTCTCTGGGAGCTCACGCGGCAGTTATCATCCCTCCAACCTGGATCATCAGAGTCCGCCGTCCACAGGTACACACTCACACTCACACCCACACTCACACACACATACACTAACGTGTGTGTGTGTGTGTGTTTCCTGCTGCAGCCGTCTCTAAAGTCCAGTAAAAGGAAGAAGAGAACGTCAGTGAAATCCAACAAGTCGAGCAGGAAGAGCTCTGAGGTGAGAACTGACTCCGCCCCCACCATGACATCATCGTCTGTGACCAGGTCACACCTCCTCACCAGTCTGTCGTGTGTCTCACGTCAGGACGGCCGTTGGAAGGCCTTCCTGGTGAAGTCGGTTCCGTCTCAGCTGATGAAGCCTGTCCTGGTCTTCGTCAACCCCAGGAGCGGAGGGAACCAGGTGATGATGTCACATGGAGTCACTGTGTACCAGTGCAACAGTCTCCATCCTCAGGAGATAAACCCAGCCTGTGTGTGTGTGTGATTCCTCCCAGGGAACAAAGATCCTCCAGTCCTTCATGTGGTACCTGAACCCTCGACAGGTGTTTGACCTGACCAAGGGCGGACCCAGAGAGGGGTAAGACCAGAACCCTGGGACACGTCTGTTCTCTCTGTATCACCTCTGTCCACATGCAATGCCACCATGACCCATAAGGGGGCAGCAGAGGGCTTTTTTATTTCCCTTGTTCAACTGCTGTGAAGGAAAAAGACAGAAAATCAGTGAAAACCAAATAAGACACTCAGTAAACACATGGTTCTGTTGATGGTTCTGTACCTGGACTCTGGAATCACCCATGGTTTAACCTTGATATTACAATTTAAATTGAAAATCATTCTTTTTGAATGGAGCATAAAATTACAGGAAAAGTAGAAATAAATGAAAAAAAGAAACAAAATAAGATTATAAAAATATCATGTTAGTGGCCATCAGAGGTACTGCAACTAAAAGCTAGGCTAGAAAATAATATCATTCAGAGCATCAGTTCTACCAGTGGACAAGAAACAACAAATCAATTCTTCAAGTCAACCTGTCTCTCTGTCTGTCCTTCTGCCTGTCTGTCCACCTGTCTCTGGTTGGTTTAAATATAGACTAGAGCTTTACATCAAAGTGCCCAACCTGAGGATCCTGGCCTGTGGAGGTGACGGGACTGTGAGTTCTTCAAAGTTTACTTTAAAACAAAAATGTATTTCTAAAACACCCCCCCCCCCCCCCCCCCCCCCTCCCACTCGTCCCTTGTGAACTAAGGCCTCCACTAGAAGGTTTCTGTCCAAATGCTGCTCCACAGCATGTCAGTGTTGGACCAGTTGAAGTTCCACCCTCAGCCTCCTGTGGCCATCCTCCCTCTAGGGACTGGCAATGACTTAGCGAGGACTCTGAACTGGGGCGGGGTAAGTCTGAACTGGGGGCAAAGGGACAGTCTGACTGGGCAGGTACCGGTCCATGAGTTCTGTCTCACTGTTGGACAGTAGGACACATTCATTTAAGGATTTCTCACACTGTTACTGTCAAATGTGAAAGAGTTGGACACGGTCACCTGGTTCACCTGGTTCATAGTTACGTGAGGTATGACTCCGATGGTATGGTGGGACTGGGTCTGCATCGGTCAGGTACTCAGGGGTGTGTCCTGCCGAGATAGGACTGATGGTTGGTTCACAGCCCTCCTTCTGTCTCAGGGTTACACTGACGAACCAATCACAAAGATCCTCTCACACGTGGAGGACGGAACCATCGTCCAGCTGGACCGATGGAACCTGAACGTGGAGGCCAACCCTGAGGCCAGACCTGAGGACATGGACGAGCATCAGACAGACAAAGTTGGTTTGAACAGACACACACACAGACACACACACAGACACACACCTCTCTCACCTTCCTGATCTTCCTCAGCTTCCCATTGACGTCTTTAACAATTACTTCAGCCTGGGCTTCGATGCTCACGTCACACTAGGCTTCCATGAATCCAGAGGTGAGACACCCACACCCACACACACACACACACATACACACATACACACACACACACCAGTCAGGTGGGAAGTGAACAAACACCAACGTCTGTAGTTTTAGTTCCATGAATATTTACAGTTTTTCTCTTTTAGAGGCAAACCCAGAAAAGTTCAACAGTCGCTTCAGGAACAAGATGTTCTACGCAGGGGTGGGTACCGCACACACACACACACACACACACACACACACACACACTTGGGTCACCTCACATCCATGTCCTTTGTGTTTGTGTTTTCTAACAGACGGCCTTCTCAGATTTCTTAAGCCGGACGTCGAAGGACCTGGCCAAGCACATCAGAGTGGTGGTGAGTGGACACAGAACATGTCCTCATGTCCCCACGTCCTCCAGACGACCTGGAAATAAAATGTAGAATTATCAGGACTTTAGACCAGTGAGAACCCAAGTCGTCATAGACTTCACGGTCCAAAGGAACATCTGCAGGAAGGGAGGCAGGGAGGGAGGGAGGGTGAGGTCCAGCAGGGGTCAGAGGTCAGACCAGCTGTGAAGTAGAGATGAGATGGAGATCAGATGATCCTCACCGTGTGTCCCAGTCAGCTGATGTTCTCTGTCCTCAGTGTGACGGCACAGACCTGACCACCAAAGTCCAGGATCTGAAGCTGCAGTGTCTGCTCTTCCTCAATATTCCCAGGTATGGACAGCAGAGGGAGACAAACTTCACCCTGGCTGGACTTTTCCATGTTTGTCCTGATGACTTATCCAAGTGTGTGTGTGTGTGTGTGTATACAGGTACTGTGCAGGGACCGTCCCCTGGGGTCACCCTAGTGAACACTACGACTTTGAACCACAGCGTCTCGACGATGGGTTCATCGAGGTCATCGGTTTCACCATGACGTCACTGGTGAGCTGCACTTTCCACTATAAGACCAGCAGGGGTCGCTCTGTGTATCTAGTTAAGTAGACCACTGCAGGCCAGACTTCAGCTGTGTCTCTGTGGTGCCAGGCTACACTACAGGTCGGAGGTCACGGAGAGCGTCTTGTCCAGTGTAAAGAAGTGACCCTCACCACCTTCAAGTCCATCCCCATGCAGGTGGATGGAGAACCCTGCAAACTGGCCCCGTCCATAATCCACATCAGTCTGAGGAACCAGGCCAACATGGTCCAGAAAACCAAGAGGAGGATTAACATACCCCACCTCAACGAGTGAGAGCCAATCAGAGCTGACCTTGAAGCTGCAGTCGTAGAAGAGATACCGTAGACGACATAGGGTTTACAGAAGCAGGCTCAGTAAAAACATGGCCGCCATCAGGACCAGAGAGAAACAGGCTGTGAACTGATTCTGGTCCAGACTGTCACTGTTGATAAGAACTGGTTCTTAATTCTTCACTCCAACATCTGAAGAGTCAAACAGAGGAGTCAGACAGAGGGGTCAGACAGAGGAGTTAAGCAGAGGAGTCAGACAGAGGAGTCAGCGAGAGGAGTAAGAGAGAGGAGTCAGACAGAGGGGTCAGACAGAGGAGTTAAGCAGAGGAGTCAGACAGAGGAGGCAGACAGAGGAGTCAGACAGAGGAGTCAAACAGAGGAGTCAGACAGAGAGACAGAGCAGTTGTTGTAACAGCTGGATAATGATGTTGTTTAACAGTGAGACAAAGTGCTTGTACTCTGTGTGTGTGTCTCCAGTCAACAGTCCGTCCCAGACCGACTCCACATCAGAGTGAACAGGATCACCATGGCGGCCTACGAGTCGCTGCACTACGACAAAGAGCAGCTGAAGCGGGCCTGTGAGTGACCCGGTCCAGCGGTGAGGTCAACACTTGTCCAACTGAGACCGTCTCTCTCACCCTGTGTCCGTCTGTGTCTTTGCAGCAACACCGCTCGGCGTCATCATCGTCCCCGGAGACAGTGACCTGGAAACCTGCCGCCTGCTCATCGATGGTCTGCAGGATGACCAGGACCAGGTATGGGCCAGAGAAACTCTAACCCTGTCCCTACATGTGTCCCAGGTTCTGTGTCCGGTTGAATCTCTCACTCCAACCCTTCCTGTCTCTCTTATGTCTTCTTCAGAGCAGTGACACGATGTCCAAGACCCTGACCCTGTCTTCACTGTCCAGGAGGTGGTGTTTCCTCGACAGTGAGTCCACGTGGGTCCAGATCAGCTGATCACAGCACAGATCAAACAGAACCTCACCGGTACCGTTTTTCTTTTACAGGTACGACTGCAGACCGGTTCTACAGGATCGACCGAGCTCAAGTACGGCAGAAATTTCTAAAAGAGAAAGATTGTGGGGAAACACAGAACCTCAGGTTCTCCTTCTCTTGTTCTCCAGGAGCATCTGAACTACGTGACGGAAATCTCTCAGGAGGAACTCTACATCCTGGACCCAGAGCTGCTGGACAAAGAGACATCCGTCTTCTCTCCTGAGATGCCTGACCTCGTGGACTCAGAGGAGTTGTCCCGTCAAACCAGGTAGCAGTGGAGCGCCTCCTGCTGGTCAGAGGTGTTGGGATTGTAGTTTAAGGTTATATAAACTTGTTGGAGCATTAACTGCTTTGTGTTTGTAAAATTTCCTTTGGTCAGTGGGTGGCAGTGTTGTAGTTGAGGACATTTAAAGTCTCCGTTGGTTCTGGTGTTAAAGAACTGTTAACGACCAGCAGAACACACCTGGACTTTTCATTCCAGGGTCAAGGAGTTCCAGAGGAGGAGAATTTCCAGCGACAGTTCCGTGGCCAATGCACTGTCACAGAGTTCCAGTAAAAGCGCCCTCTGCAGGTAGGTACACTACCTGCAGCTGCCTCTGAGCGTTTTCTTCAGAAGTTGAAGTTCAACGTTTACTGTGCCGCAGTTACACGTTTTCACCACACAAGGCAGTGTTCCATTACATTGTACTTTATCAATGAAAGGAACACCTTAAGACCTCTGTCCACTATCACTTGGGGACAGACTCCATCCTCTCTGTGTCCTCTTGTCTTCTGGTGTCTCATCACATGTTGACATGTTTTCTGTCCGTCTGTCTGACCTGAAGGCGAGGAGCGAAGATCCAACGCTCCAACACCAGCCTCGCTCATTTCACTCACGTCAGTAGGTACGACACCGTCCTCCATTCTGTCTGTGTGTGTGGGTGTGTGGGTGTGTGTGTGTGTGGAACATCTGACCTTATGCCTCTCCTCATGTCCTTCAGCCCGACCTCTGCTGCGTCACATGACCCCGACAAAGGTAAGGAGCGACTCACCTTCACACAAACAATTGGATGAAATGATGTCGAAACCTTGGATGTCAGTTCTCCGACACGCAGGACCACTGCTGCCTCTTGTGGTTAGTTTGGAGAACTGAAATGAACTCAAATAAACAATTTATAATTGAACAACAGGAGGCAGCAGTGAATTAAGAACTTTGTCCAGTACGGTGGACTCTCTCAGTTCCTGGTACTACATGAACAGTGAGTTCCAGTCAACAGTTCCTCATTTCTCACCTTGTTGTTTCACAGAAACACAGTTACTGACCTGCGTCCACACCAACGACCTTCAAACAGTAAGTGTGTGTGTGTGTGTGTGTTCTGCTGCAGCTCTGCTCTGACATCAGTCCCTCATGCCGCCCTCTGTTTTACTGTGCAGCTGATGAGGCTCCACCAGCAGGGGGCAGACCTCCTTCTGCAGGATGGTGGTGGTCGTACGCTGGTGCATCACGCCGTTGAGCTGGACAGTGAAGAGATCGTTAAGTTCCTCGTAGACAACGGTAAATAAAGCACAGCGTAAACAGTACTTCACCAGAGGAACTTAGTTCCAGGTACTAATCTCGTCCGCCTTTCTCCGTCCAGTTCCGACGTCACACCTGGACATAGCAGAAGAAGAGACGTGAGTCCACTTCCTGCCTCACCGTCCAGTCACTTAGTTCTGCAGGAACAGAAACTGATTTCTGCTGCTTAACTTTTCAGTGGCGAGACGGCGCTGCACAAGGCTGCCACCTGCTGTCAGAAAGGCATTTGTCACCTCCTGGTGGAGGCCGGAGCGTCGCTCACAAAGACAGATCTGCAGGTAATAATGAAGTCCACTGTCAGGATCAGGTCAGGGGCTAAAAGTTATCACAGCTGAAGCTAAGAGGCTAACTCCACAGAACTGACATGGCAGAAAAACACAAGATGGAAAAAAAAAAACAAAAGTTGAAAAAAACAGAAGATACAAAAACAAAAGGTGAAAAAAACAGATGAAAAAAGGTGAAAAAAAACAGAAGATGAAAAACAAAAGGTGAAAAAGAAACAGAAGATAAAAAACAAAAGTTGAAAAAAACAGAAGATGAAAAAAAAGATGAAAAAAAGGTGAAAAAAAAAAAGATGAAGTCAAGACTTTTATAAAAGAGTCATAGCAGAAACTCCGGCTTCTGCCCCCACCTCACAGTGTGTGTGTGTGTGTGAGACGGTGGTGGAGCTGATGGAGTTGGTGGTGTTCATTTCCTGTCCCATGAAGCGTCTTTGTGCGTATCTGTCAGTCCTGCTGACGACCACCAGCCGGAGCCCGTCTCCCCCCGGGCTGCAGCCCCTGACCCACTTCTGTGCAGTGATTAATGCAGTGTGTCAGTGAGGGACGAAGCACTGCAGGGACCCGTCCTCCACACAAAGAACTGCAGTCTGTGCTGCCATGGTGAAGTGGAGCTGACAGGAAGCAGCTCAGAACCACTGTTGTTACTCTGCTGCTCTGTGTGTGAAAGAGAGAGAATGAGGGTGAGGGGGGGTGAGGGAGACGGAGAGCAAAGAGAGAGAGAGATGATGATGATGATGATGACGATCAGATGAAGAGGAGGTTGAGAATATTGGTTGTGGGACAAAATAAGCGTCCTCTGACTTTCTGTCTCTGTCCTGGTCCCAGGGGGAGACACCTAAGGAGCGTGCGGAGAGAGGAGAGGACCTGGAACTGAGCCAGTATCTGGACCCACATCAGCAGATGATCCAGAGTGAAGACAAGGAGACAGCAGTTTGACCTTCTCACTGTCCCTCTGTCCTCAACACCACTTGTCCTCCTTTGACCTGGGTCTACCTTATCTCACCCCCCGCCACCTTCTGCACCCCCCTGAGTGGACACCTATGAGCCTGGACTGTCTCTGAGGACACTGTCCTGATCCTACTCATGTCCACAGAGACACTGGGGTCTCAGGACTGGTCCACTGTCTCCTCAGAAAACCTCCGAAATATTTACACAACTATTTATAGTCTGGTTTGTAGAAAAAAAAACTGGCTGGAGACGTGTGTGTGAGTGTGTGTGTGTGTGGGTGAGTGTGTGTGTGGTGTTTTAGGTTCTGCCACAGCAGTGACTGTATCTGTATCAATAAGTGATCAATAAAAACTGATGACAGTGTCTGGATCATGTCTCTACACACACACACACACACACACACACACTCTCAGGTCCAGGTCTAGTGTTGAACAGTTTCCATTGTGTTTGTTCACCAGATTAAAAACCCAGTGAAAACAGCTTCATGATGACATCATCAGGGTAACAAAACAAGTGTGTGTGAGGGAGAGCGAGCGAGAGAGAGAGAGAGAGAGAGGGAGAGGAGAGGAGGAGCAGAGGCAGCGACAGAAGGAGACGACTCCTCCGTTTGATTCACTGCTCCACAAAGTAAGTCTCTGTTTTTGATTTTTGATGCAGAAATACTGAAGGAGCTCAGAGTCAGAGTTTAGATCAAAGATGCTAATTTAATCGCTAACAGACTTCAATCACAGAAGTTTTAGAGACAGAGCTCTGAGCCACACGTATGCGCACACGCACACATATTTAACAGTTACAGCAGTAACAGTTACAAGTTAGCGGGGAAGTAGCTGAGAGTTAACTGAGTGCTTAAACCAAAACTCTAGAACCGATTTGTTTAGAGCAGCTAAAAACCTCCTCCTATATCAAAGGTGTTTTCTTCCTTCGTGACAGGCTTGAGATGATAGGATGTAAGAAGGATGACATGTCCAAATAAAACATGTCCCTGTCCCGGGGCCACACTTTGGACACAGCCAGTACAGAGAGTATTCACTGAGAACCAGAACTGAAGTTTCTGTATCTCTCTGCAGAAGACGTTCTATAAGAAATTAGTAAAAACAGGAAAGTTTGTTGTTTGTTTGGCCTCGGAAGTGAGGAGTGAACTCTTCACAAGGAGGTGGAGCAGGAGGAGAAGAACGATGAAGGAGGAGGAGGAGCGTCCCTTCACGCTGCGTTTTAATTTTTTCTTATGCAAATTCGCTGCTATTGAGGGGCATGCAGAAACAAGCGGGGGGGGGGGGGAACGGAGAAGAGGAGGAGGAGGAGGAGGGTGAGCTCCTCAGATGCGGTGTGGAATCTGTGTTTGGCCTGGGCTGCAGGAGTCTTTGTCTTCATCCAGTGAATCAAGACTCTTTTGAGTGGGGAAATCTAAAGAGTTCTTTCAGACGCTGTTGGCCCCCTCACCTCCCCCACTTCTCCTCCTCCCCCCTGGTCTTCATTGATGAAGAGTGGGCTGGGGGACTTGCTGAGAGTGGCTTCTTTTCTCATGAAGAGCCACAGGAGGAGCGAGAAGAAGAGGATTTACTCTGCCATCTGACATGTGAAAGAGGAGCAAGGCTTTTATCAACAGCCGGATTATCAACAGCCAGATTATCAACAGTCGGATTATCAACAGTCGGATTATCAGGATAGGTCTGTAGTCACAACATCTGCGTCTTCATGTTGGACTGGTCTAAATGAGGACATGATGGTTTTGTCAAAGGTCACTCTGTGGTTCTGACCCATAAATACAGTTAAAAACTGGGTCCAGAATTCCCTGTCGGAGAACAGTGCTGCTACAAACACTCTTCATATTTACTGCTCCTGACAAACACCACCCTGTTTCTGTTTCTCCCCAGGATGCAACGTTTGTTCTCTGTGGCCCTACTGCTCCTCCTAGTGGTGACGCTCAGCACTGCCAACAGAAGGGCAAAGAACCATAAAGGTACCTGTCATGTGCTGCAAGGCTACAGAAGGTGTGTGTGTGTGTGTGTGTGTGTGAGGCAGAGTGGAGTGCATCAGACATTAGCCAACACCAAAAACCCAGTCAGACTCAGTCCAGACCAGTGACACTGTTGGGCCTCTGCTCTCACTTGAACCTTGTTTGTCAGATTAAAGGAAACAGGAAGTGAAGGTTGAAGCTCACGTCTGCAGAGACTTTACCTCTGACTCTGGTTTTATCTGGTCGACTGGCTGCACTAGATGTGTGAAGGTCGACCTGTTGAGTTAGGAAGAAGGAGTCAGCTGTGAGGTCATGACCTTTGACATCAGTGTGAAATATATTTTCTGAACAAATTCAACACAAAGGTATTTTTAAACTTCCTTCTCAGTCCAGATATTTCTACCGTCGCTTCTCTAACCCTGGACCACATTCATTGATTGGAACTACATTAGTCCTGTCTATGACAGGAACTGAAAAGTTCTCCTTGATCTGAAAAAAATATTCTGAACGACAGTGTCTTCTTCTTACGTCATTGATCACCGCCGTGGTCCACCCTGAAGAGAAGCAGGACTGTGGGTCTGAACGCTGAACTCTGTCTGACCTTCTGTTTCTGCAGGTAAACATGAGAAAAGTGGACAGGCCTCAGAATGCTCTGCTGCAGAGACTCGATACGGGAAGTGTGTTCCTGGTCACGGAGACTGTGGAGAAGGACTGCGAGACGCCACCTGTAAGGACCAGACCACCAGGATCAGCTGCAGAATCCCCTGCAACTGGAGGAAGGAGATCAGTAAGAAACTGTGACTCTGTAGAGAAAAGAAATGACCTGTAGGTGATGCCGGACTCAGGTCCGTTGAGCTCAACAGCTGACGATCTACTGCTGCCACCGTGTGGTCAGGCTGTGTTACTGACGTAGATTCAGACTCATGGGTTAGAGAAGAACAGAATCACAGTAACAACTTGTGTGTGATGTTAAGCTGAAGAGTTACATCAGTCATCGGAGGGCATGTAGGTAGTGGTGCCACCTGCTGGTCAAATGCAGGTGAAGAGTCTTGTTCAAATCAAAAAGCACTTCAACTGTTGAACAGTACTGTGGATGAAGTAAAACACCACAGTATTGCAGTAGTTTCTCTGTACAGTGTGTGCTTTGTCACATCCTGGTTCCTCTGTCTGTGTACCAGGTGACTGTAAGTACAAGTTTGGAGCCTGGGGACCATGTGACTCTACCACCAACACCAGGAGTCGTTCAGGGACACTGAAGAAAGCACTGTTCAACGCCGAGTGTCAGGCTACAGTCAAAGTGACCAAACCCTGCTCTCCGAAAGTCAAGAGGACCAGAGGTGAGACACCAGGACACCAGGGAGAGAACTGGTTCCTCTTACTGTAAAAGGGGGGAGGGGAGGGGGATCAACAATGTAATTAGTTCATGACCTTCATGTTCAGAACAGTTTTATTCATTTATTGATCGTGGTCATCATGGAGACGGCGACACTGACTGAGGACAGACCTTCAGTCCCTGCTGAGATGTTGGACCATCCAGCTGTGGCCTGATACTCACTGAAAACATCATAACCAATGACCTCTGACCTCAGTGATGACAGTGATCATGTGACACAGGTTTGTTTCACCTCCAGGAGATAAGAAGTCCAGCTAAGGTCTGATCGAAGACAGAAGGACAAGCTGAGGACAGAAGGACGTTTGTCCCGTTTCCTGCTTCATCCAAGACAACAACCGAGAGACTCCTCCTCCACAGACCAACGCCCTTCACTCTGGCTCCGCCCACTTTCTAGATAGAGCTACTCCATTTGATGGGAGGTTTCATTAGTTTGGATTAAACGTAGCTGTAGCTGGTAGTTAGTTCCTAACAACTGAAGATTCGTCTGTAGCTGGAATCACACACTGCTTTAGTTTCATAGTTGAAGTACTCAGAGTACTGTGATGGAGCAGTACTCAGTGTACTGTGATGGTGCAGTACTCAGAGTACTGTGATGGAGAAGTACTTAAACTGTAGACTGTGGAACAGACACTTGTACATGAGACATGAACAAAATCAACCTGTCAATCCTCCGGGTTAAACTGTAATCTGTTTATTTTTATGGTAATAAATAATCTGAGGATCTGAGTCCTGACTGGTGTCATGGTGTCATGTGACCCACTCTCAGGTGGTGTCATGTGACCCACTCTCAGCACAAAGTCACTAAAAGGGTAAAGACACAAAGACACAACTGCAACACTGTAAAGAGACAAAACACCTGAGGTAGGACAGACACAGGACACCAGATGGACAGAGACAGAAGACAACGCAAGACACAAACAGAAGTGAGTAGTCCAGCAGGACAGGACACTGTCCAGACCTCCTGTAACTTTGACCAGTGTCATCGCAGCTTCTGGCCACGGCAGCGCAGCAGGCTGCAGAATGTTTTCCTGAAGGTGGCGTTGCACAGAGCGTAGCAGCCAGGGTTGATGGCGCTGTTGAGGTAGCAGAGCCAGTTCCCCGTGACCCACAGGCCGTTTGGGATGCAGACGTGACAGAAGGCGGCAACGACGGCCATGACGTTGTAGGGCGTCCAGGTGAGGATGAAAGCCAGCAGGATGGCCAGGATGGTCCTTGTGACCCTTCGCTCCCTCGCCATCACTCGACGCCGCCTTGTCTCCTGGGATTTGACAGCCGGACAGGAGGAGAAGGCCACGGAGGCCGACCTGTGGAGCGTGGACAAAGAATTCTGTGTCCTCCAGTCTTCACCTCTAGTGACCTGCAGAGGAGACGGGTGGACGTCCGGCAGCTCGGACTCATCTCCAACACTTCTGGATGCCCTCAGGTACGTTCTGGTCTTTGGAGGGCTGGACTCAGACTGGTTCAAAGACTGGTCAGAGCTAGTGTCACTGGTCACCCAGCTCCAGCGTTTCATCAGGAAGTCCTTGATGGATGGACTGGATGTCCTGAGGGTTCCCTGCTCTGACTGATGGGCACTTAGTCGGCTGAAGCTGTTAGCGGACAGACAGCTGTAGATGACGACCATGACAAACGCTGGTATGTAGAAAGAGGGCAGTGTGGTCCCTAAGGTGACGGCAGGACTGGCCAACAAGTGAGTGTAACACTTGCCTTCAGGGACGACTCGTGTCTCCCCGTCCCTCTGCCAGCACAGAATGGCCGGGGCCCAGAGGACAAAGGACAGCAGCCAGGCGGCGCCGATCATCAGAACGGCCATCCTGCCCGTCCTTCGTATCGGGTAACTGAGCGGCCGGGTGACGCAGAAGTATCGATCCAAACTGATAATCAGCAAGTTCATGACGGAGGCGCTGGACACCGTGTAGTCCAGCACGAGCCATATGTCACAGAGCACTGCCCCAAGTGGCCAGCGTCCATGCAGCAGGTACAGCGAGTACAGGTTCATGGAGAGCAGTCCAGTGATCAGGTCAGCCACAGCCAGGCTCAGCA